AACATCAAGCTAGATACATCTGAGGCGCTGTACATTAGAAAAAAGAGACGGGCAATTTAAACGCGCATATAGTTTAGAAGTAGGGAGCTGACACTTGAGCTATAATTCTAGAATCGTGAATTTTTGGCTTCAACAAGAAACATTGGAATTTTTAACATGTTAGTAGCAACTTAGCAGCAACTCTAAATTGTATGAACAAAAAAAATCAAATTTGTCATGAATTTGGGTTTAACTTTATAAATTGCTTATATAATAACTATCAGTTAATTTTGGAAATAATTGCGATATTTTGATTGTTTAAGTTTCATATATAATGGCCTGCAAGATTATCGATCAATTTGTACAAATTAAGTTAGAGTTTTGAAACATGAAGATGCACTAAAATGTGCGAAAACGTTTGCTGAGTTTCTAATTTGAATGCGTCCTTTAACAATGAGTGGAGTGATTGATATCTAAGATACTGGATTTAGTTGAATCAACGAGATGTGATCAAGAGCGCGCAACATCAGCCTTTGGATAACTTTCCTCATTTTTTCAGCAATAGGTCACCCGGAAACTTTTTCGGTGTAGTGTATTGAAATTATCAAAAAAACTGGCCATTTGCAGAGCCAACAAATCAAGCATGAGCAAACAGGCAAAGCGGCAGTTTGTCAACAGCAAGAAATGGTAGTTTTTAAAATCGACAATTTGTAAGGGGCAACCATTTGCACCATGTGACAAAAATTACCGCAGTAAACCTTTAAGCAAAAATAATTTAACATCGAACCATGAACCAGCAAAACAATATGTATTATGCAATCCAGAAGTCAAACCTAAGAAATAATTCTTCAAGTGGCTTTACAAGGTTACTTATCTGATATTTTTTTTACAAGTTCCCTTATCATGATAGGATTTTTTATGTTTGTAAACTTTAGTAGCATTCTCTCCTGATTAGCTTTGAGTAATTTTTGTTCCGACTTTCGATACGAAAGTAACGGAATATTTGTGCTCGGGGTGGGTTTTTTTTCTTCAGACAAATTTCGACTATTTAACTAGCGATTTTTGACGGGATTTTCTTATATCATTCGAAAGGTATTGTTGTCTTGAGCTTAAACTTGAAAAGATATTTTACCTGTGATCATTTTTCGTAAAGTTATGGCGGTTTAAATGTTACCATTTTGGCCAGTTTGGGACAATTAACGCGCCATATATTTCGCTCTGTTAACGCGTAAGCGGAGATTAAATCCGTCTTAGAAATTGTTCCAAATTGGTCGAAGGAAGCTTACTTGTATAATTGATTTGCTACTAGGAGCAAAATTTATCACTTTTTACTTTATATGGCGTGTGGGGCGATGATTTTATAAAAATTTCAAATTTTAGAAAAAATATTGTTTAGTTTGTTTTATTACATTAAATTTTTATATGTTATTACTGCTCCATAAACATTAAAAGGCACACGGAACATTCAGGGCTTTGCCCTGATATGAGTAGTTTTGTAATCTCATTTATGATCTGTTCTTTTTGCATGAATTGAATAAATTTATGGATGGTCGGACGAGCGTAATCCATTACTATTTGGAAAGTTCCATGTCAGCCTCTTACTCAAATTGTAGTATTCTGTCTTCCATTCTTTTCATTTTTGAACTGGTTCCACAAAAATTGAGAAAACTTACTAGCTCGTCTGATTGATGTTCTCAAACCAAGTCTACTCGAAATTTTCAACATGGGGAAATGTCTGCTCCTCACAAAGAGAAATGCATAGGGCAATGCCATTTATCACAAAGTCTAGCTCTGGTATGAGTGCTAAAGCTACAAACGAGTTTGACAATGGGCGCGTTTTTTGATCTGTTTTTAAATGGGAGCCATTCCATTGATTTCCGAAAGGTTACGTTAGTTTGCTCAGGTGAAATGAAAATGCGTCCTTTGATCACTACACCGGCCAAACATTTTTGAATTGCTTCAAACGAAGTCTTTTAAAAATCCACAACAATCTGCCCTGGCTCAAAATTCATATGTTTTTTTCTCAGTAGCCAAAATGCGCAAATAGATTGCACGTCGTTTTATATCAATCATTTTGTTTGTTCAATCACTACGGCATGACTCATAGAAGTTTGGTAGAATAGCGATGTGCCGGTTTTCAGAGTTCCATCTGCGTGCCATAATACGGTGCTAGACTCTAAAAGTTCCAGGTTATGTCCAAAGCGAACATTAGATAATGGTCCTATAGGACCATTATCTAATGTTCGCTTTGGACGATAACCTAAAACGACGAGCAATCTCTTTGCGCATTTTGGCTACTGAGAAAAAACATATGACTATAGTCAACCGGACCCGAAATGAGTCGAAGGAAATTTTTCCTGCCCAGGCTGAGGGACAGCTCACGTGTGATCGCTATATCTTTTTGTTGTCATTGGGGTTGATCCAATACACCTTTGCCGTTAATTTGTTCTTGAAAGTGACATCTATTTAAACAGCTTTACACCAGTCTCCATGTCAGTTTCTCTTTCAATGTACAGGAATCGAGATGACAAATAAAGTGACTGAGCTTTCTCTTTGATGACACGTTTGACTTTAAAAACAGGAGTGATCAACTTGAAGAGAAAATTCCTCACCAGACAGAAAATTTTTACTTAAAAAAGTCAACTTTCTCCTACCCAAAAATCCTAGTTTTTTCAGAGGTCACTCGTTTCTACGCAGGAAACGCACAACTAATTGTCGTGTTTTTTAAAGCATTTTTGATTAGTTTTAAACTGAGTAGATTTTAAAAACAATACACTCTGTGTTATAAAGAACAACTTGCATTTTGATTTCATGATCATGGAACATTTTTTCTTGACTATGCTTGCCATTTTTGGGTACGATCTCATTTTTGAATGTTTTTACAGTTGTTTAACAAAGCCTTTTACAGCATTTCCAAGTGGTTCTTTTGGTGATGTAATTGTGTTGTTTTTTTGTCAGTTTGTCCAACTAGAACAAGTTGCTGTTTCCTGCACTGACTAATGTTGAATTATAGAGAAATTTCATAAAATGATTCGTTGAAAACAAAGAAACGAGTTCGAAAAAAAAACAAAGATAATGATTTCCAACAAAGATTTTTTGTTGTAGCTGATTGTTTTTAATTACCCGTTATCGCAACGTCAAATTATTTCATTTTGCATTTTAAGCCAAATAGGTTGCTAATTAGGTGCATGATCCCGTAGCAGTTTGTAATCAGCCTATTTTTATGACTTGTGTATGGAGAGTTTTATAAAAGTGTATAGAGAATCTCAAAACTGGTATTTACAATTCCTGCAATTCGAAAACTATAAAATGTCGCGTGATAAGAATTGCTGCCTCTGGCGAATCTTCGATGTTTCAAAAAAAATGGGAATAGTCATTTTCGATCATTTACTGTGTTCAACGAGTTGACGCCTCATGGAGTTGACATTTGAGAGAAAGTTATTCACATGCAACATATCAGAAAATGTTTATGCTTTAAACTCCTGATCTACGAAGTCCTTGATTGATTTGCTTCAAAGTTTACAAAATTGTAATCAGTGATGTATAACTATGTGGTTACATGTCAGTATTTAGACAGCCGCGTATTCATACTGGTCAGTATTTAGACAAATACTGTTTCAACCAATCAGAATCGAGACAAAGAAGAAATTAATAAATAATTATTATTTATTTTGGATTATTTATGTTTTTTCTCGATTCTGATTGGTTGAAACAGTATTTGTCTAAATACTGACCAGTATGAATACGCGGCTGTCTAAATACTGGCCGCACTCCAACTATGTATCTTTTATTTTTTGTGGATTCTATAAACTGTTCAAGATTCCGCAAATAAAATTTCGGGTTCTGCTGATTGGCCTAATTTTGGCGGCGAAATTTTGAACGGTACATTGTTATACCTATTTGTTTGTTCAATTCAAAACAGCAAAGAAAGTCAGCAAAAAGTAGAAATGTTGCAGGTTTCGCGACAAATCTGAGTTTGGCCGGTTGCGGAATCCGCTTACAATTCACAAAACGTACAATTTTGCCTTGTAATGAAACTCAGATTTGTAACATTTTTACTCTAACATAGATTCGACTTAATGAAACATTTAGAATAAGTTTTTTGGTTCTAGAATTCACAAATGAAAAAGATAGACATTGATTTTTTCATTCTAAGCAAAGTTGGTTATTTTTGCGGATCACGAGAGAGCAGAATGTCAATTATAGTAGTGCTGATATATAATTGGAAGGGAAAATTTCGCGAGGAAAAAAAAGAGATGAAAAATTCAAAAAATGCGTTTTTTAGCAGTTTTTTTGTCTTTCGACTAATTTTTTAAAATGTTTTTCGCGAGTACTCTTCAAAAATAGTGGGCCAAAAGTGTTCGATTTTTAGGGTTAGTCAGTTGAAAAATTTGTCGGGTGAGATGTTATATTCGTCTGTCAGGGATCAAATTCCGAAGAGACGCAACGCAGTCTTAAGCCTCCGGACTTTGAATCCACCCTGCTTAATGTATGCTGTGGAATATGTTTGCTTTCAGGCTGTTTAGTATAAGCTGCATAAACTATAAGCCAGCTCATTTATTTGTGCGATGCGAACCGCAACTCATTTTAAGTTTTGTTTCGGATCTAACCAGGGGCGGATCTAGGATTTTCTCGAAGGGGGAGCGTCTTTTCAAAATAAAATGGCAAAAATTTTGACGACCCTTTTTTTAGGTTGCCCGAATTGACTTTTCTAGCTCTCCCAAAGCACTTATAAGTCCCTATTTTGGCCAAATTTTCGGCGCCAATTTTGACCAAAAAATCGCGTTTTTTCGGCGCGCGTTCCCCCCTTAAAATTAGTAAATATTGGCGCTGATGGCGCCTTTAGAAAATTTTTAAGATCAGCCAGCCAAAAATAGTACAAAGGGGGGAAACATACCCAAACCAAAAGTTCAACCCACACTAACTGGTCGGATCAAATCAATGTTATATCAAAATGTCATTAAAATGTTCAAAGGTTGGCTTTTACTTCTTGTTTGTGATTGTTTCTCTAAAAACGCACGCGCTTCAAAAAGACAAAAAGATACACTGAAAAAAAAACGCGTCTGAGTTGCCAGCTACAACGTTCGTTTTATAACATTCGTGTTGTATTTTAATATTAGACCATGTTATCATCAAAAAACTGCATTGATTCTACATGACATACTAGCAGATCGTTTCTAAAAATTTAGCTACTTTTTATTAATCAAATTACAATTTTGTTCAAATTCATAATTCTATCAATTTATTTTCTATCAAATTAGCTCTTCTAAAATGACGACCTCAGAACACATGAGGTCTTCTGCTGAAAAAATTAGTGTAGACAACGTCGGAAGTCTTCTGGCGAGCTCGTCTTCTGGAAATTTCATGTCAAGTTCAAACAGGATGAATGGCTCCACATTTACTACGTCATCATTTCACGTGTCGTCCGCCCAAAATGGACGACATGAAAGTCATTCACATGGCCCCAGTCAAACAGGAGGTCTAATTTGTCATAAACTGTATGAAGACATGGTCCAAAAGTACAAGTCGATCGCAGAACAGTCGCAGCAGGAGCTAGCAGTTGCCCAACATCGAGTGAAAGTCCTGGAAACTGAACTAGAGGAACAGAAAACAAAATCTGAAGCTCAAGAGAAGCTTCAAAGTACTTCCAAAACCGCTAAAAACTCACTGGAGGAAAACTTGCAAAAGCAACTCGCTCTTTCGTCATCGCTTCAGAACTCGTACAAGGATCTAGACGAGAGGTATAAGTTGATTGAAACAGCGTACCATGAGCAGAAGATCGAACTGGGATCCACAACCAGTGCTCTGGAAGAACGAACAGTCCAGTTGAAGCATTCAGAGGAGCAACGAATCATGTGCCAAGAGCACATAACTAAACTGGAAGAAACGATCGCTGACTTCTCCAAGGCGGTTAAAGAAATCGGGTTCATAGTTTTCGAAGGCCAAGATATTGAACACCACTCTGTACCTGATCTTCTGATTGAGATAAAATCCAACGTTGAGAATAACTCTGGCATCTCGGAGAAGTACAACAACTTGAAACAGACTATGGACGGGCTGGAGCAAGAAAACAACGCAGGAAGAGCGACGATTCTCAGACTTGTGGGCGAGCTGGAGTCGGAAAAGGCCCGAAACGAAGTTTTGGCAAAAGGTCAAGAACAAATAGCGAGCGAGCGGGAAAATCTCACTTCGGAAAACAACAAATTGCTAAAAGCTGTACGTGATATGGAAAAAGAAATTGACATGCTAGGTCAAAAACTGAGAGATAAAGATGCGGCTTTGGAGAAACAGCTTTCAATGATGCAGGTTCAAATAACGACCGCAAGGCACGAGGTTTTGGACGCCAAAAATGCTCAGACCGACTTAGAATCGACTCACCAAACAGCTCTTTCTCAACTACGAATTGAATTGGAAAAGTTCCGTAATGATTTAGGAAACATTTTCAAAAGCTTTGACATAAACATCGACTGCTCTGATAACTCTCTAGTTCTTAGTACACTAATGGAGATCTTAAATCAGTTCAAACAAACAATTGTTGACAAACAAGGTGTCGAGAGTCAGTTGAAATCTTTCCACGAAAACTCGGCAACCGAGCTTCAAAAGTACGAACTGATGTATAAATGCGCGTCGTTGGCGGAGCAAAAGTTAGGAACAAATTCTGATCACATCGCCGAATTGGAATCGCGAGTCACTTTTGCTCAAGCCGACGTTGAAGAGCTGGCAGCTCTTCGTGAGAAATTCCACGCTTTCATCGGCAAACTGTCTCAAATTTTGAAACTTGAGTCAATAATGTCTGAAGTTGGGTTAGACTTAAACGTTGATGCTGTTACTCAGCGGGTTCAAAAGCTTGCCGACCGCGAAGACGCGACTCTGATCGAAAAGTCGAGTATGATTCGACGTCTTGAGAAAACGAATCGGACTCTGAAAGACCAACTTGAAAGCAAAGAGTTGCATCTGGACATGCTGCGAAAGAAACTGGAAAATGCAGACGAACAACAACCGGGAGGTCTTCACTACATCAATAGTCAATTGCGAACGTCTCAGAAAGAGAACCAAATTTTGACCAATCAGCTGACAGCTGCGAAACGGAAAATAATTGAGCTGAAGTCAATTTTGCAGAGTGTGAGAGAAGTTAAATTGAGAATCATTTCAGGTGGTGATCCCGGAAACGCTTTAGATGTTGATTGGGGATCAGAAAACAACGATGAATCATCAGAACCAGTAGTGCAAGACGGAGAGGAATTTACCCAAAAAACCACTAAAACTGTCAAAGTGAAGCAGTTAGAAGAACCATATTTGAGGGTTGCCAGCGCTAAAATACATAACAAATAGAAATCATGATAGATTTTGCATAAAGATTTTATAATCAAAATATATGCAAACATAAATTTTGGAATGTAGTAATTGATTTTTTGCCAGTCATCTAATTTTTTCAGGCAAAAGATTTAACAAATTACAGTAAGTAATCAGGCCGAACGACAAAAATAGTATCATAGAAGTGCAGCCAATTTTTGCCCACGGAAAGGTCGAAAGTCTGAACACATTTCATGGACACTTTTGAGCGGATTAATCCGAATGTGAAGTGAGTAAGAAACCATGAAGTGGTCGGAATAGTTGAAACTTGAAATTGAAATTTGAATTACTTTACCAGCTACATATACAACGCCAAAAGCAATAAATTATGCCTGGAGGGAGATCCTAAAGAGCAGTACTGCTCATCGAGTAGGATATCCTGGAGAGTAAAGAGAAGACAGCCAGCATCACCTCAACAAACAAATTAAATTAAGGGCTGAAATTAAAAAACAGTTTGTAGAGTTCCTGATTGTCTTTTAGGTAAAATTGAAAAAACTGTTTATAGAGTCTCAAACAACTAATTCTGACATTCCATGTATGTTAACCGGTATCAAGTCATTTTGTTTTAAATAGTTAAAAGCCTGCACAATTCTAACTGTAAGCGATCTCTGTTTAGCGGTAGTAGAAATTTTTGCCACTTTAATTACGCCTTTCGCTTTGCTCCTAGTACATGGTCCACTTTTTTGGGATAAATCTGAGATAGAAAACCATTTTTTTTGTACGATCGCAATTCCATAAACAAGTACTTAAACATCTCAAAACTTGCATCCAAATACCGACTAAATTGACAAAACGACATGAAAATGGCATGAAAATTGTTTGGAGTTCAGTTAAAAGTAATTTTTTATGCATTGCTTACCGCTTTAAAATTCTGATTTATTTTCTCAAGTTCTGCAAAAATGGAAGAAAATTGCAAAGGGAGTAATTGCTGCTTTTTGGGGTAACAAGTTTTGATGAAAAAACTTGTTTTCTATCATTTCCGGACTACTGCTAACGATTTTGTTGGTCCCCAATTTTTTTGAATCGCTTCGTTGAATTAGTAAAGGAACAATTTATTTCCTTTAAAGGTTACTAAACGAATAGTAAATGAACAGTTTATTTCCTTTAAACGTTAGTAAAGAAATAGTAAAGGAACAGTTTACTTCCTTTAAATTTCATTAAAAGAATAGTAAAGGAATAGTTTATTGTTCCGACTTTTGATACGAATTGTTGACGGAATTTTTTGTACGGAATTTTTTGACGGAATTTTTTGTATATCATTCAAAAAGTAATGTGTTCCTGAGCTTAAATTTGAAAAAATAATTCACCTGTAATCATTTTTTGTAAGGTTATGGGGCTTTACAGATTGGGACAATTGACGCGCGATAAATTTCGCGCGATTAAAGTGTCAGCGGAGATTTATTCCGTCTTACAAATTGTTCCAAATTGGTTGAAAGGAGCTTATTTGCCATAATTGATTTGTTGAAAGGAGCGAAATCTATCTTTTCGTTTTTAATATGGCGTGTGAGAGAATTTTTTTTTCATTTTATTACATTATGTTTTTTTGGTTTTTACTGCTACTGAAATCTTAAAAGGCAGTCGAAACATTCAGGGCTTGGCATGTTAAATGTTAAAAGGAATAGGAAAGGAACAGTTTATTTCCTTTAAATGTTAGTAATATGAAAAGTAAAGGAACAGTTTATTTCCTTTCTTTGGTAGTAAAGGAATAGTAAAGGAACATTTTATTTCCTTTAAATGTTAGTAAAGGAATAGTAAAGGAACAGTTTATTTCCTTTAATTGTTAGTAAAGGAATAGTAAAGGAACAGTTTATTTCCTTTCAATGTTAGTAAAGGAATTGTGAAGTAACAGTTTTTTTCCTTTAATTGTTAGTAAAGGAATGGTAAAGGAACAGTTTGTTTTCTTTCAATTTTAGTAAATAAATTGTTTATTGTCCTGACTTTCGATACGAAAGTAACGGAAAATTTGTGCTCGAGGTGGGTTTTTTTCTTCAGACAAATTTCGACTTTTTAACTAGCCATTTTTGACGGACTTTTTTTAGTTTCATTCAAAAGTTATTGTTGTCTTGCGCTTAATTTTGAGAAAATATTTCATCTGTGATCATTTTTTGTAAAGTTATGGGGATTTCAAGTTTGCCATTTTGGCCAATTTGCGATAATTGTATCTTTCGCGCTATTAACACGTGAGCGGAGATTTAATCCGTCAAATAAATTGGTCCAAATAGGTTGAAAGAAGCTTATTTGCCATAAGTGATTTGTTACAAGGGGCGAAATATGTTCTTTTGTATTTTATATGGCGTGTGGGTGGCTGATTTTTATAGAAAAAATTTCAAATAAAAAAAAAATTTATTTTATTTTCTTACATTTAATTTGATAATGATATTTATATTATTACTGCTTCATAAACCTTAAAAGGCAGTCGGAACATTTAGGGCTTTGCCCTGATACGAGCAGTCTTGTTTAACTTTACTTTGCACAAATCTCATCAATTGAGTAATCCCCTCTCCCCCTGCCCCTAGTGACCAATTGAGCTATCCCCCCAAAAAAACTAAAACGCTACAAAAAGAGGTCAACAAACGCAAGTAAATGCTTGATGTGTTCATATCACGCAATCAATTGACCGACTGAAGTTCATTTTATGAGTATCAAGAAAAACTTTGAAAACGAAAAAAAAAATTAATAGAAATTTGAAAAAAAAATTGCTATTTTTGGTTTGGGCGGCCATTACTCTCATTGAGAAAAACGAGTTATCAGGGTTGGTGCTCTAGTTTTGTACCTGCATACCAATTTGTTCTCCTCAGAACCTTAATTTTGTACGCCAATAGCTTTTTTCCATTCAGGTCCAAAAAAAATGCTTTATGTGCCTCCGTTTTACTGACTCTTTTTTTTCACACTGAATGTAATTTTTGAGCTTTGATTATTTCATATTTGGCGTTCAACAATCATTGGAAAATCTGTTTCATGATTTCATATCATTCAAACTAATTTCAAGTGGTTATAAACATGTCTCAAAAAATACCTTTTGAGCTATCTCCCCCCATAAACCAACGGAGGCACATAATCTTGAGACATGTTTATAACCACTTGAAATTAGTTTGAATGATATGAAATCATGAAACAGATTCTCCAATGAATGTTGAACGCCAAATTTGACATAATCAAAGCTCAAAAATTACATTCAGAGTGAAAAAAAAAAGAGTCAGTAAAACGGAGGCACATAAAGCAATTTTTTTGGACCTGAATGGAAAAAAGCTATTGGCGTACAAAATTAAGGTGCTGAGCAGAAAAGTTTTTGGTATGCAGATACAAGGCTAGAGCACTAACCCTGATAACTCGTTTTTCTCAATGAGAGCAATGGCCGCCCAAACGAAAAATAGCAATTTTTTTTTTCAAATTTCTATTTTTTTTTCGTTTTCAAAGTTTTTCTTGATACTCATAAAATGAATTTTAGTTGGTCAATTGTTTGCGTGATATGAGCACATCAAGCATTTACTTGCGTTTGTTGACGTCTTTTTGTAGCGTTTTAGTTTTTTTGGGGGTTAGCTCAATTGGTCACAAGGGGCAGGGGGGAGGGGGGATTACACAATTGATCAGATTTGTGCAAAGTAAAGTTAAACAGGACTGCTCGTATCAGAGCAAAGCCCTAAATGTTCCGACTGCCTTTTAAGGTTTATGGAGCAGTAATAAAATAAATATCATTATCAAATTAAATGTAAGAAAATTAAAGGAAATTTTTTATTTAATTTGAAATTTTTTCTATAAAAATCAGCTCCCCACACGCCATATAAAATACAAAAGAACAGATTTTGCCCCTTGTAACAAATCACTTATAGCAAATAGGCTTCTTTGAATCAATTTGGACCAATTTATTTGACGGATTAAATCTCCGCTCACATGTTAATAGCGCGAAATATACAATTATCCCAAATTGGCTAAAATGGCAAACTTGAAATCCCCATAACTTGACAAAAAATGATCACAGATGAAATATCTTCTCAAAATTAAGCGCAAGACAACAATAACTTTCGAATGAAACCAAGAAAACTCAGTCAAAAATGGCTATTTAAAAAGTCGAAATTTGTCAGAAGAAAAACGCATCCCGAGCACAAATATTCCGTTACTTTCGTATCGAAAGTCCTGACAATAAACTATTTCTTTACTAATATCTAAAGAAAATAAACTGTTCCTTTACTAGTCTTTTACTAAAAATTATAGGAAATAAACTGTTCATTTACTGTTCCTTTACTAACATTGAAAGGAAAGAAACTGTTCCTTTACTATTCCTTTACTAACAGTTAAAGGAAACAAGACTGCTCGTATCAGGGCGAAGCCCTGAATGTTCCGACTGAATTTTAAGGTTTATGGAGCAGCAGTAATAGCATAAAGAAATCAAATCAAATAAAATAAAATGAATATTTTTTTAATCTAAAATTTGAATTTTTTTATGAAAATCATCCCCCACACGCCATATAAAGTACAAAATGAGAAATTTTGTTCCTTTTAACAAATCAATCATGGCAAATAAGCTTCGTTCATCCAAATTGGAACGAATTATAAGACGGATTAAATCTCCGCTTACGCGTTAATAGCGCGAATTATATCGCGCGTTAATTGTCCCAAATTGGTCAAAATTGCCAAAATGGCAATCTTTAAACCCTCATAACTTTACGAAAAATGATCACAGGTGAAATTTTTTTTCAAATTTAAGCTCAGAGCTACAATACCTTTTGAATGATATAAAATAATTCCGTCAAAAATGGCTAGTAAAAAAGTCGAAATTTGTCTGAAGAAAAAAAAAACCCACCCCGAGCACAAATATTCCGTTACTTTCGTATCGAAAGTTGGAACAATAAACTGTTTTGATCCAAAATATGTCATAATAAAAAATATAACATTTGTTTTTAGATATCAGTAGAATTTTCAAATTTTTGTGGTGGGACTTCGAAGGGCTGACTATTTTAGTAACTATAATGACGAATAAGACATTGTACTCTGCTTTTTGAAATGAAAAGGACGGTTGCAGAGAAAGATCTGTAGGTTGGAAAAATTATATGTGAAAATGAAGAAAGACG